CCTGACAGAACTGGAGAGGATCTGCAAGGAGGAATGGCAGAGGATCCCCAAATCCAGGTGTGAAAAACTTGTTGCATCTTTCCCAAAAAGACTCATGGCTGTATTAGATCAAAAGGGTGCTTCTACTAAATACTGAGCAAAGGGTCTGAATACTTAGGACCATGTGATATTTCAGTTTTTCTTTTTTAATAAATCTGCAAAAATGTCAACGATTCTGTGTTTTTCTGTCAATATGGGGTGCTGTGTGTACATTAATGAGGAAAAAAAAATAACTTAAATGATTTTAGCAAATGGCTGCAATATAACAAAGAGTGAAAAATTTAAGGGGGTCTGAGTACTTTCCGTACCCACTGTATATTAGACATTTCTGTTTGATTATGTATGTATGGTGGAACTATATGTTTCCATAAAACGAATATATTGTTATTGCAAAAAAAACTATTCTATTCTATATAAATATGTATTTATTTATTTATTAAAAATATGCTTTTCTAAATGGTCATGTAGTATTTGCAGCAAAACTATAATTTGATACTATCACTGATTTTATTTTTATAAAAATATATTATCTCAAAATCTAAAATGTCATCTTTTAAGGCACATCACTTTATTTATTTAATCACACTGAGCTGCTCTGGTTATTTTATTTTATTTCTTTGCTTTATTTCTCTTCACTGGACTGTCCTAAAATAGGCATTTCTATGTTTGTGTAACATTCACAGCAAAATATCCCCATCATGATACCATTACTGTGATTTTATGTATTTATTTATTTTTAAATAAAACTAACCTTTGTTATATTGTTCTAGCAAAAACAATCTTCTCTTTAAGGCACTGTTACACGGAGCAGCAGAGGCTTTCTTTCTCAGACCTTTCAAGAAGAAATGCTCTGTGGCTTTGATAAGGTCCTTGCCGGGACGAGTGCGCCCATCATCTGGAGAGAAGGAGGGTCGGATCTAAACCAGCGGTCCTTGGATCAAACAGGTGTTACTCCTTCACCTGTGAGGCGAGAATCAAAGGCTGGCTTTATCAGGGAGCGCAGCAGACGATGATGCCCGGCTCAAGAGACACATGCGCAGGTTCAAACGCAGCGTCAGAAGAAAGAGCAGTAGTCGCTCTTTCTCTGAGGATGTGAGGAGGTACGCTCCCCTAACAATCACAGAAGAGCCGATGCTGCTGATGCCGTTACAGGGGCTGTTTTAAGTGCCCATATGAAAGACAATTCACAAATGAGATCTTTTTAATATCTCTATTGTTTCTCCTGGATTAAATGTAGAGCAAAGGGAGACTTTTGGAAATACAAATGAATCATAAATGTTATTCCATTAAGGTAAATTAATGAGACATTCCTCACCAGTAGACTTTTTGTGTTTCAAAATCAGCACATGAAAAGACATTTTAGTAACTTCTTTCACAGTGCTTCTTTCACAGGACCTTCTCAGCATCTTCTCAGCTTCACCACAGGTGGGGGTTTTATCCTTATAAGCACTTAATACACTTTTTATATTGATTCATTTATGCAATTTTGTTAAACTAAAAACTGCTCTTATAAGGCACCATCATGCACAAATTTGTATTATTTATTTAAATTATTATTTTTTTCCTACTACTACTCTATCTATCTATCTATCTATCTATCCTCACTTCAGTTTACTACACTGAACTACTGGACTATCCAAATAACAAACAAACAAACGAATAAAAAAAAAAAATAACATGAAATAAAAAAATAAAATAAAATGAGTCATTTCTATGTGATTATGCAATATTTGCATCAAAATAAATATACCATATATATTTTACTTTTTTACTGTTTTTAATTGTTTTGTTTTATTGTATTATTTTAACCTCACTTCGATTTGTTACACTGGAATACTGGACTATCAAAAAAAATGGCTATGTAATATTTGCAGCAAATAATATCTTGATATATACCATTACTGTGATTTGGTAGAACTACTGTAGTGTATATCTATTTTGTACAACTACTGAATTATTATCACCGGAGCTAAAATCTTCTCTCTGTTTATGTATTTTAGGCCTGTAAAAGATTTTAAGGAGCTGAACGAAGCTTGTGGCGTATTCGAATGAAACTTGAGGAAACCACATCAAACATCTGAGTGCTCAGGAAGCCATGACTGATGTGATTGTGTTTTGGAGGCCATAACAAACCAAGCATTTCATAATTAATTCAAGATTGCTTTCCACCAAAACATAACCTTTGAAATAAAGGTTGCATTAGCCATTCCGTTCCACACCATAGACCGTCTTAGTCAGAGGCAGGTATTAGTCAGACGCGGATCAATCGAGGCAGATATTTAAAACACGAGCGACTGGCAAGTGCAGCGTTTCTTCCTCAACTGAAGACAGAGGAACGGCCGCGATTTATGAGTCTCACCACAGGCGAAGCTTTTCTCTGTAATGCTGAGAATGACAATTCATTTGACCGGATTGGAAATGTGATTCCAGCCGACAGGCCGTAGTTTAAATTCAGTTTTCCGTGCGACTGTGAGTGTGTGACAGATTTTACCCACAAACCCTGAAGGCCAGAGCGGTTTGATGAGTTGTGTCACACTGACAGCAGATACATCGAGACCTCACTCACTCACTCGCTCTCTCTCTCACTCCAGCTCCGGCCTGGAAAACCATCGCATTAAACAGCATTTGTGTAGATATGTGAGTAACACAAGCACTTAAAGATGAATAGAAGACTGATTCCTTTTGAATTGATTTTGAATTGACAGGAAGAGAATTTACTGAATTGAAGTATTATAATTGTTCCCTA